CCTTTTCACACTGTGTTGTTCAAAGCATTAGACAAGTGCAACAGTTGCTCCGACGCATTGAAATAGACTTTGCCATCTTTTTATACCGTAGAGGCTGTTGAAATAACGTTTAGCGCGCAGTTTTTCTCGAGTAGAATTTTCTTTTTTCATGAGCGGGAGGTTTAAAACGCGTCGGAGAAACATTGGATAACTTAGTTAGGATCAATAATGTTGGTTGGGCCAATCGTGTTCTGCGTGTTTGGATCCGGAAAATGTATACCTAAAACGCTTAAATTCGTACCTTGTCTACTAGTCCATTGTAAAAACTGTGCGCCATAGTAAGGAGCCTTTAACGAGGGAGTAGAAATGCTACACAATTTTCAACTCGAGGAGTATCTCGTTTTCATGAGTGCGGATTATAACAATCATTACCGATAATTCAATCGTTCTCTCTGTCGTTATTAACACCAAGCAAAATAACTAGTAAGTCCCTCAGTTTTTTTTTTTTTTTAATTTTAATAAAATAAACACTACAATAATGGCTGTCACAATTAAATATTCAATGATAATTAAGTTCCTTATGATGTGAGGTTAGTCTTAGAAATAGAATGGCGCCACATAGAGTATCAGTCATCGTCAGTCTTTGATGTGCAACTTGGTTTCTAAATCTAAATCCATCCTATCCTCCCATTGGAGACCTAGCGAGAGCGGAGGGGGGGGGCGATTAGAGGTCGCGGCCATATGGGTCGTCTGGACGAGTGCAGCGGCTCCTCTTCCGGTGCTTGTCCCGACAGCTCACTTTCTTCTGCCCGACATTTGTCGCGCATATCGACACGTCGCAGCGCGGCTGGTGGCGCGGGACACTGGAAGGGGGACTGAGGGCGCAAGGGGGCATCGGTCATCGGGCCCCCATCGGTAATTAACCCGGTCGAAAAGCCGAATCGATATCGGCCGGATTTTGGCAGGGACCGCGGCACGCGCCCAAGGAAAAGCGGCCTGATTCCGGTCCCGAAATCGATGCCGCTTTCGCTTTTTTTTCCGGTTACCGGTTCGATGAAAGTTCGACAGACACGACAATACGTCGCGCGGTTGCGTGACGGCTGATATGATGACATCAATCCGCATATCCTATTTTAGAAGGAAAACAGGCTTCCTTGAGTATTTTTTTTAGCGCTGGTGCATAGGAAAAAAACACAGTTATCCTAAATCTTAATGGAATGTCCCTGTACATCTTGTAATATAGTTAGGGCCGTTGGCCGATGGCACTCCAGCCTACCCACTAAAACATTGTAAATAGTTTGTAACTTGTAGTTATAGTAAATAGAGTTAATACTTTGTAGTTCTCTATATTTTGAATAAAGAAAAAAAAAAGAAAAAAAAAAAAAATAGGAAAATATGGACTGAGCTCATCAAAGGGGAACCAATCCACATTATGTTGAAAGTGAGGAAAAGAGGTTTGAAGTTTTATTCCTGCATAAGGCTCAATATAGAAAATAAGTTTTATCCCCTTTTTTCTCAAACCAATTTATTCTTTTCGAATTTCAAATTTTAATTGGCAGGAGAAAAAAACGACTAGTGGAACCCAAAAACATTCTTAACTTAATTTTTCCTGAAATATGGGTTGGATACTCTCTGATGAACTCGGTCCATATAAGACTGAATTATGAAAATTTGAAAATTGCTCTTTTAACTTCGAGTGTATTGATGAATAAATGAGCGGAAAAAGAAACAACGATACGCAAATGAGAAATGTAATAAAGGGGACCATGCACTCACATGATATCTTTTAAACCTTAATCATGTTTCCTTAGAGCAATTTTCATACTTTTATGGCAGGAATTTCACGCAACGATTTTGAATAGATATTTTGAATGAGAATGATCGGACAATGACATGTTGACTGCTAAATTCAAAGACTAAACGTCTCTAATGCAATTTTTCAAAATTTACACCCGTATTTTGTTTTTCCTAAGGAGAGTGGGCCTTCTTTGAGCTTTCAAATTTGTACAGAATTATCTTCTAGCAGTAGAAAAACACAGAAACTTGTCAAATTATCATATTATTTCGTTTGCAAATTAAAATACAGATGGTCGTTAGCTTGTAATGTTAAGAACCGATAAACATAGCTCCCAGTGGCGTGGCGTGAATTGCGATGTATCGATTGTTATGCCATTTAAACCTATGGTAAAGAATCGATTATTGCGCGGTGTTCGCTGCGAACACCCTGTTAATTGATCCTTTTCCATACGTTTAAATGGTATGACAATCGATATATCGCAAAGCACGCCACGCCACTGATAGCTCCTCGGTGTATCGATATATATGTACCCGTCTGAGAAGCAACGTCAAAGCGTCGCTATACACAGGAAGTTTGGTTGTACGGCAGTTACAGCGTTCTTTAAAAATTGTTTTTGCGCGGGCTGGATCTCATTGATTAGATTATAATCAAATGATAAAATGCTCCGAAGACACGAACGAATTTTCAAAATTACCGAAAATCTTAAGTATTGGATGTGGATTTTTTTTTTTTTTGGAAAGTAAATCTGCTTTGAAATTTTCAAGAAAGAGCTGCAATGAAACTTTCAACATGTAAAAAATAGTAATTGAGCACACATTATGAAACGTCACACAATCTGTGGTGTGGAGAATTTACATCAAACATAGCATAGTTAAAATTTCTGAATGTTATCGAAGTGATATCACAATCCATTTAAAATTCTCTTCTCAATTTCAAAATATTATTTCCTGGTGTAAAGCGAGGATTCGTGGCATCAAACGGATGTGCTGTCGGCCACCGTTCCATCGGATGATATCCTGACTGAATTAAAATGAGCTGCGTTTGCTGAGATTTTCTCCTCAACTCCAACTCTTAGTTTCGGGAGTCGTGGAAACAAAAAATATAGCTCCATCAATTTATCTGCAAAGCGTGACGTTGATACTTCAGATCACTGAAATTTCGACTTTTTACACGCTGAGAAGGATGAATCGTCTTATTGATGTCTCGTTAATTTACGACTCGTATAATACGAGTCGTAGGGGACGCCCAGTGAGAGGTTGGCGACAGGGGGTGTTAAGTGAGATGAGGGAGTGTCAACTCCCTCATAACCTGTGGGAAGACCGAGCTTTGTGGCGATTAGGTGTCGCAAAGCGCCAAAGAGCGCTATAACAGCGACTCGTATGTATGTATAATACGAGACAACAAACAATGCAACATATCAAACAATAAAACACACACTAAAATACAAAAAACAAATGGGTATACAAGGCTAGAGGAGACATAAAACAACCAGGACGTTTCAGGCCAATTACAGGCTCATTCTCAACTGGAACAGAGGCTAAAAAAAACAAACATATCAAACAAATACAAGAATCTAATCAAACATTTAAAACCGAAGTACCAAAGATAATTACCTAACTACTACTCATTTAATTGTAAATCCAAGAAAAGGAGGAAATTTAGCGATCCTTAGACCGTAGAATAATTCTATTAACTTTTTAAGCAAATCTATCTGGCTAAGTTTTTTTTTTGTGGGTTGTTGAAATCAGAACCCATTTTTTTCAAAAATAATATTGTTTTGCTATCCGCTAAAAGTAACTGCTTTGACGACAAAACCTGTTACTTTTAAACTTTTTTGTAAATTTTCACGTCAAGTGCTGCTGAATTTTCTACTAAGAAAATACACGAGCGGCAATTACATGGGCAACGCCTGATGTAGTTTTAAACTAACTTTGGTTAAAGCCGTTCAAAACCGTTTAAGACCGGACAAAAATGTGTTCACGATCCAACTTGCAAATTTATCGCTATATTGAATCAATCACAACTGTTTTCCATAAACATTTTTTCTGCTGTGTGTGCCTAATTACTGAGTACGTCCGAGAAAATCATCGAGTTAAAAATTATGCAACTTTTCTACTCCCGCGTTAAAGTCTCCTTATCATAGCGAAAAGTTTTCTCGAGGAACCAGCAGATAAAGTACAAATTTGAGCATTCTGACACATGGCTCCTGACCAAAATTTCTCGAAAAATTTGATTTGCACAACGAGAATTACTGGAAGTAACTCCTAACTAGGGTATTAAGAGTTTCTTGACGCGTACATTGAAATCTCCCTCTCATGAAAAAACAAACGTCAACGTAAATAAAATCGCTTACTAAACGTCATCCCAGTAGTCTCTGTTGGATGAAAATAGGTGAGTGGGGAATTCAAAATTCTCGTAAATAATGGAATAACTTAAAATGATAATATCAAACGTGTTGATTTCAGTAATTTCCATTGCACAAATCGTATTTTGCGCGACATTCTGGTTAGGAATCATACATCAGGATGTTTAAATTCGCAAATCGTATATTGGTCCATTTAACGCACCGCAAATTTTATTGCGCTGACAAAACCGTTACTTAAAAGGAGAAAAAATTATCGTAAGATAAATGGTGCTCCTTTCAATTCTGTTCCAATGACAACTATATGAATTAAAATTGAATCCTGTAGTTTTGAAGCAAATCCACTCAGGTTACAATCCAAACTTGTGGCAAAGATTATTACATGCGTACGGGAGTCCACAACATTCCAAGTCACGGTGTAAACATCGGTGTTTATAACTAGTTATGCGCTCGTTCATTCTCCTTCAGAGGAGTTATTGCAGAACCTCTTACCTCATCTTTGATCTGGAAAAAACCCTAAAATTTAGACAGTTTGCCAATAGCTTTCTCTATTGGCCGATTGCAAGGAATTGACACTTTCTCGATACCATTTGACTACCTTCCTCCTAACCTACATTCAATTTTAATATGCACTCGCCGTGGTTCTAGGGCTTCGCGCGCTTTCGGTGACACAAAGGAGGGGGGCTCGGAAAGAGAGGGGACACTGCGGCACCGACCAATCAGAGCCCAGCTGACTGGTCGGCGCGAACTTCGTCGGAGCTTCGGACAGAAAGCTCCCCCTCCCCTGAGGCGAGGTGGGAGTTGAGACTGGAGATTTTTATGGTTCATTTATAAATCAATGGGTGGTTGTTTGAGTAAACAAAGTTGGTAGTGCTGTCGGTGTGATTGGTTTGTGTTGAGTGTGTGATCATGAAACCGATGCTGCTCGGACCTTTGGTCGTGTGGATATGCTGCGGAATGGTCACCGCCAGGCAGGTGGCCTCGGCCCGAGGCTCTGATCCCAACAAGGTACTTGATATTTTTACTCGCATATGGATTTTTTGTGGAACAATGGCTTGCATAGGTTGCTATTTGTTTCAACTCCTGGATCTCCACGAGAGGAGACGGGGCGGGGTTGAAGTTCTTCGTTTTTTAGACGAAGGAACGTAACTTTATTCCAAGGCTGCAAAATTGATTTAAAAAGTTCCATTTTTTTTTAAAAAAAAAATGACTGCACAACTTTTGTTTACGTTTTGTCGGATTTTGGGGTGTAGTCAGAGAAAAATTGGGAACATTTCATAATCAATACATCCTTAAGTTTTCTAGTGAAAACACGATCAGTGAAAGGGAATTTCGTAAGTTAGATTATTCAGATCTTTGTGTTAGAAGATGGAAAAATGGCCCATTAAAATTTTACTATCGCATCAGAGACACTAAAAACCTTACAAAGAGGATTGTTTTCTTGCACGTACAATCTGATTTTTTTTTACTATACAAATATATCTAAAAGGGGGGTACGGCATCAACAAATTTCACTAAAATATTTTCCCTTTTTTTCTTATAAACAAAAAGCTTTTCTCCCTAAATATTGAAATAATACTTACCTTGAAATTTTTTTGTATCTCAAATAAATTAATTGAGAAAAGCAATGTTTATAATAATCGGGGAACACTAAGACAAAAATTCAACCATGTTCTAGCTAAGAAATTACTTCATCAGAATTTGACTTTTTGTAGTTAAGTTTTGGAAATCTTTAAAAAGCTAAAATGGCCTCAGAAATCCAATACTCTAAATGGATAACAAATGGAAACTGTATTAAAACCAAGCATAATTGGACTTCATTTTGCAATTAGGAACTATAATTTCTGGCTCATCAGAAATAACACTTATGTACATACGGAAACTAATGGTTCATACTTTGTTTTTATACTGACCAATACTATGGTGCTATGAAGGCCAAAGAGTAATCAGAAAATTTGACGTATTTCTGCTGAACGGAATTAGAGACCAGAGACAGCTGAGAAAGAAGGGGTGTGCCCGTTAATCGAGGGCCGTGAGAATGAATGGGAATTATATGAGCGCCAATGACGTCAGCGTTGACAATGCAGAAGGAGGATCCGCGGATCTGAGTCTTTCAGTCATGAGCCTTGGGGCCGAATTTTGTCGGTTTTTTCACACGGAGTGCAACATCCATCGATGAGTTCAAACCGCACCACCGACCAATTAGAAGCGCTAAGCCGGACTTAAGTGCAGTCGAGACCCGTCCTAAGTATATTTAAGTAGTTCCGTAGGCGATTAGTTCCGTTTGGTAGAATATAAAATCCCACTTTTCCATTTCCCCGAAGGGAATCACGCCCACTTTTACATTTTTCCCTATCCAATTTTTTAGAGCACACCCTATCTTCCCCACTCGTCTACAGTTCTGTTTAGTAGAAACACGTCGAATTACCCTCAAGTCTTAGTCCTAATAAGTGAGAACTGAGATTTTTGCATTGGAATATATGGAAATAAGTTGAAATTCCTAACACTTAGAGCAAAAGGTAATTAATGCATTATAAAAAAACTTGGATCAACGTTTCAGCAGACGGGAAGTTTTGGCCCAAAATCGGAACGGAGACTCGACGCGACACGTAGGTGTTAACGCCTTACAATGCAACTATACCTGCTCAAGGGGTGCTTACATTGCCTGCATACAAAATTGAAGGCGCTTGAGATTCTCTCGCGCTTACATGCAGTGCAGTGACTTGCGCAGCTCGCATCTGTAATGGTGAAAAAGGCACTCATAGACACAAATCAAGAGCAAATGGTTCAGTTGCGCTATTTACAGGATTGGTTTATCCGATGCGATATTGGTACGAATGCAATTGGGGGAAAATAATAAAGGCTGTACAAACGAAAAGTACCCTCGTTCAATATTTGGGATACGTGTATACCATTGCAAAAAAAAAAAAAAAACCACCGCTATACACTGCCGTGCTAAGGAAGAACGCCGTATGAACATTCGAGAGTTGCCAAATTTCCCCAGATAAAACATGTCTATTTGAGGGAAGTTATAAATGTTTTTCCTTGCTATTTTCAGATATTTCAAATTAAATTGTGTATAATGTAAAGTTGAACTTATTTTTATCGGGCTGCATTATGTTGATGAAATTACCTTTCTCCCGATCACTTTTTATCCGGTTCTCAGACGATAGTTATTTCGATGTTAATCATCATCATCAGGTCACTTCGACTTCGACTTCGGTAAACACTAACAGTCACATCTTATATTGTTAAAGTTCTCGTTTCTTAATTATTTTGTTGTTCGTTGTTTTCTTGTATTGTATCAAATTCTCTGAAAAATCCGAGGAAAAATATCCGACAGTTTCCTTGAAAATGCTTATCGTATCTGAAGTAATTTGGATACGGCTGAAGGCTCATATAGCGTTTTCCTTAGCACGGCAGTGTAGTACTTATTGTTTTTCGTCTTCTTCAAATTTGCGTAAATTATTTAGGTTGGAAACGGCGAGGCCCAGACGTTAAACCTCGACGAGGCAAGGATGGCCGATCAGGGGAGCCCCTATTCAAGGGTGCCTCTCGTGTACGGTCCACGGTCTGCGAGGTTGAGGGAGGGCGCCACTGCCTTGGATATGGTTCGCAACATGTACGACGAATGCTTGTCCGAGGGCTCCTTCTCCTGCGTCAAGCCCAAAATCCTCGCCTTCCTCAGCGCCTCCTCCGACAAGGAGAACATCCGTCTCACCAGGGACCTCAGCATCGTCAAGGCTCCTTCCTACGTCGAGCCGGCTCCCGAGTACTATCTTCAGGTGTGAATCAGAAGCTTGAGTTTTCGATACAAATTACACTGTGAAATTACACTGTGAAATTACACTGTGAAATTACACTGCGAAATTACACTGTGAAATTACACTGTGAAATTATACAAAGCTTCATCTGACAATGAATGTATTCGTCTACTAAAAAGGGTTGAACTACTTTTTTTTTTAATTCATTGTGAGTTTTATTGGCGATTCGACAGAAATTCCGTGAAGTTTTTATTGGAAAAAATTCGCATGCCATTCAATGGAATAACAACTCACGTCAAATTTTAAAACGTTGCAGAGCAATCAAGCTCTTTGGCTCTCAATTTTGCAATACTACTCTTTTGGGGCATTTAACATTAGTACAGACAGAGGGATATTTAACATATCATCATTTTCGAACACAACTTCTTTTTTGTTACATTTAAATTCATTACTACAAAAATAAGAGGACGTGCTGACTATAATTCCTAATATACTGGTATTATTTCCAGACACCTGACCAATCACCCGACGACGCAGAGAAGAAACAAGCTTTGCGCATGCTCATGTTGGACAAAGTTGACGATTTCCTCTCATCCCACGAACTTCAAATAAGGATACCAAAAGAGATCATTTCTGGCTCAATCGCACCCTTCGTGCCTTCAGCTTTGATGAAAAATATTCCTCAGGAGATGAGGATACCTCTGGCCGAACCTGAAACTGGCAAAGGTAATTACACATTTCTTGTTGAGTATTCTTAACTTTCAAAATAAGAAGAACCCATGGCCTTACGTCATGAGTTACAAGTTGATTGAACGGACAAACGCAATTTCATTTTTTTGCGGTTAGCGTGTCGTCTCTGACTGAACTGCTAGCTCTCTAACGCTTTAAGTGTTTTATAGTGGAAGGTTATCCAAGAAACTTTGTGAGCTTTTTTTGAACTTGTGAGTTCGTCTCAGGGGCAACCAGTGGCACCATCGTAATTCTCGCTCACAGTACTAAAATCGCAAATCGTAGACACATGCAAATAGCGACATTTCCCAAAGTTCAGTGTTCGAAACTCACAGGCGCCAGCGCGCCAAATGCGCCTAAAAAATCGGTTACGGCGCCTAAAAATTGAAGGCTCTGCGCCAACGTGGCCCCTAAAAATTGCCCCCTAGAAAGCTGGATTTTCATGTTCGGTGATCATTCGAAATATTCAGCACTACAAGTGAAAGCTTTTTCAATTCTTTACGATTTCATCCTTAGTGCTTTTGTCTTCCCCAAATTACAGCTACTTACTAGTTCTGTTACGAAAACATCTTGCGTCTAACTTTTCACTAAATGCGCCGTAATATATAGGCAAAAAGTCAATTTGGCCCCTAAAAAATCTTCAATGGCGCCTAAAAATCGGGCTTGACGCGCCACATAGCTCCTAAAACTTAAATGTGAGTTTCGAACACTGCCAAAGTTTATGGTCTCACCTAAAAAGATACTCCGCGTCTTCATGCATGTTGATGGACAATCAACCATTTCTTGCCCATAGGTCGAGGTCTAGCCAAGAAGGTGATCATGCCGTTCCTGCTGGGTCTCAAGTTCAAGGCGACGGCAGTCATTCCGCTGGCTCTGGCGTTCATCGCCCTCAAGACGTGGAAGGCGCTCACCCTGGGTCTCCTCTCCGTCGTCCTCTCCGGGGCCATGATCATCTTCAAGTTCTCCAAGCCTCCACGGCTGGTCAACTACGAGGTCGTCCACTACCAGCATCACCCGCCTCCACCACCCCCGCCGGCCGTCGTCGAGCACCCCATCGCCTACGACCACCACCACCCCTACCGGCGAAGCGTCGAACCACAGCAGCTCGCCTACTCCGCACACCGTGTCTGACCCTCCTGATTTCCTCAAGTCCATGTGAAAGAAAGAGATTAGAGTATTGTCGTGCTAAGGAAGATCGCTGTATGAGCCTTCAAGCCATGTTTCCTCACTGGGGGAAAAAAAAACAAAAAAAAAAAAAACATTGGATCAAGAGTTCGGACTCTTGAAAACATCGAGAAGAAAAAATATTCTTGATTCAATCGGATTTTAGCTTAAATCAAAAACCAAGCCTCTTAATTTGAGCGGATTTTCTTTTGATTTAAGCAAAAATCTGATTGAATCAAGAGTATTATTTCTTGTCAACGTTTTCAAGAGTCTGGACTCTAGATCCAATGTGTTTTTTGCCAGTCCTTCAGGGATAAACGAATTAACTGGAATGATTGTGAACATTTTTCTTCAAATTATTCACGCGATTTTGTCCGCAAACTAATTTAGAATATCAGAAAATAATAGGGAAAATATGTTTAACTTTCCTCAAGAATATATATTTTATCCGCGGGAATTTGATAACTCTCGAATGTTCATACGATGTTCTTCCTTAGCACAGCAGGATAAAGGTTGACCATCAAAATAATCAAAGAAGCGATTCCCAAAACGACCTATCTTTTCTCTCTGAAAAAATCTCATGACTCTACCCTAGTGGATAGACCCCCTTCATTACATTACTCCTCACTAAAAATCATATGAGGGGTGTTGAGAGTATTTTTCAGGTGAGACAAAAATTATAGAATACCTCGCGTTAAAAAATACAGCAGAGACGATTTCAGGGCTGGGCTTTAGGATGACATCATCAAAATTTTGGGTAGGCACCAGCCCTACCCTCGCAGGACCATACACTAATCCGGACAGGGCTGATACCCACCCAAAGTCTAGGCAATACCATTTAATCTACCTTTCGAGACATATGCAATAAACTGTTTTTTTCCAGAAAGGATTGAAAATGCTTTTAATGAGTGAGATGTAGGTCATTTTTGAAATTGCTGATCTGATTCTGACGTCTGTGAACTCTTATCGGAAGCAAAATTTCAAATTGATAGAAGCTTACTGCTCGGCCAAAGCGCGTTGCGTTAGGGGTAGTTATAGACTGGTTTTTCACATGGACGCAATTTTGTTTGTGTTAGTTTGCTCAATGGAACAACCATTACCATTAAGACATCCAAAAGCTTGTATGTACAAAGTAGGAAGCATGTAAAGGAGGTCTTGAGGTTAAGAAGCTGAAACATAACGACTCTCTGCCTCCTTGGAACTCAACAATCTCGTCAAGCAGAACGAGTATGGCTAGTCAATGTAAGTTACGCGGTTGAACCCGGCATTCATTTGCTTGGGCTCGACTGACATTTTTAATGTTTAAAGAGAGCAAGAGGCTTTTGGTAATCTTTTGGATACATTCGTTCATCGAATAGATTCCCGCGCTTTCGGATCAAATGTTCAATGCAGTACTTCAAGAAAAGCGTTTGAAGAGGTAAAATTTCAAATAATACAATTTTACGTCTTCAACTATTTGAAAACAACAATGAGACGATTGTACAGTTCAAATTTAATTTATTGTAATTTATTTATTTTCTTGATGCCAAAAATCTTAATTATAAGTAATTTATTTTCACTAAATTGTTTCTTATTTTTATTTTTGTTCCCTTTCTGTCAAGTTGTGCATATATTCTTCTAATTCTGGTGTGAAAAATTCCGTAGCAATTCTATAATTTTTTTATTTTTTATTTTTTTATTAACGCTTTGAAGACTCTATATCAGGACATCAATCCTGAAAACTTACCTCAGAGAATTGTTGCTACAACTGAAAACATGTGATTGCTTCCGCTTATCCCTTTTTAAAAATAGTAATTCTCGTAATCACGTCCGTTTTTCTGTGTTAGATCATGTTTTGATATTTTCTTCCGAGTATTGGACATACAGCTTAGTTTTGAGTGATTATAACTTTAAAGAGAGAGTTGCTGCCTCAGCAAAAGAATTGAGACTGTATCATACAACCCTCCATCAAATTGAAGCGACACCCTTCACGGACACTGAGAAATCAATAATTTTATGAGCTCATTGTCTAAACTGTCTACGTGGGAACGCCAGTGACAGGAAAACAAACGAGTTCTTTTACCAAACATGGAGGGTGCCATTTTCGTTTCTGCAACTGAGCTTAGACAAAATAAAATGCACTGCAACCGGCTGATAATTGATCGAAATCCGATGCATATGTTACTTACATGCATCTACATTGTTGTAAAATGATGCTGCCCACTGTAAGTAACCGTGTAAAAGTCCCTTTTCTATCCATGTCATTCATTACAACTTTTCTGAATGCCAAACACATAGAAAAAACCCCATCTAACACTGATGAGCCTGAAATTTTTATTTCACAATTTTTATTGATCTAACTCAAGGAGAACGTTTCCGACGATCATTGATGATGTCTGTCAGACTGGTATTCAGTTTCCGCAGAATGAAAACAGAAAATTCGAGATTGAGTGAAAATTGGCGACTGTTTATGCACATAGAGTTGATGTTAAGTGGATCAATATACTTTTTTGATCCTCGTCAAACTCATGCAATTTCTTTATGCATGCCAGACTGCAGCTGTGAATATAGTGCAATTCCTCATAAAAAATAGCGTAGAACTTTGCGTTGTACTTTATGATTTTTAAATGGTGCAATGCCACGTGATAGGGCGAGACGTTAATGATAAAATATTATAGGCAGGTTTGCTGTTTTCTACCGGGTAAGCTTTGATATCAGAGACAAAGGTGTACTTGTGGAAGTCAGAGTTATGTCTTTGAGAGGAATGTCTTTGCAGTTATACTTTACCACACTATAAGGTCCTCCGGCTACACTGATGCAGTGCTACACTTGTGTGAATGAAAATTTTGATGATCAAATACCACCTGGAATATGGAAACATTAAATGGGAAATCCTAAAAAATAAATAGGCGAGAACCAAAAGTGAAAATCGGATTCTGAGGAAATGTGCCGACCGAAAAAATCTTCATCCAACATCTTTATTATTCATGACAAGTAAGTTATAATCCACACATAGACATTGGTTCATGTGATGGGAAACTCAAACGAATGATTCACCATACCTGACAGTAATGTGGTACACCTAATCTTGAAAATTTCAAAATAATTTGATCGAGGTCACCGGGTTTCTAAAATGTGGCAACTAGACTGCGGGAATCTTTGTTAAGTTTTCTGCGAATGTCTAAAAATCCAAATCCTTTCTATCGTTTGGAAGTTTGATCAAAAGTTCAGGGATATAGAAATGGTAATCCACGGTCGTCTGTCATAAGCGATATGGATTTGCACCGGTGAAGGATTCCGAAATATAGAGTCATTTCAATCACGTCTGCGGGTCAATATTGGAAACTATATCAACACGACAAGACAAGATATATAGCTCTATCTTTTCCTTGCGATATATCGTATTTCGATGTGTCATTGGGCTGCTTTAAACTTTCAATAATCGCTGGTTAAAACTTCAATAGGTGCTCTGAGTGTCTATTTACTTTTAACATTTGATTAACTGTTTGGATTATCTCTAGTTTCAATAATGAGACTGCAATTGATATCAGTGGTTTAGCGTGCTTTGTGATATATCGATTGATCTGCCATTTAAACCTACAGAAAATAATCGATTTACGGGGTGTTTGCAACAAATACATTAATAATCGATTCTTTACCATAGCCGCAAATGGGGAAATATCGATATATCGCAAAGCACGCTAATTGATATGTACTTTTAAAACACGTGAATGAAACTAACGTTTTCCAAAAGTCAGATGGAATTTTGTCAACTAGTGATTAAATCGTAAGCTGAGGCGATAAAACCGGTCTATAGATTGAACTTATTAATTTTAAAACGACAACTTAATTTGGGGAAAAGGCTGCAAATAAAGAACAACGTATAAACAAAACCCGGAACGTTTCAAAATAGTTACAATTTCATTTTCAACCGGAAAATAAATTAAAAATAAAAAGGAGCCGTCACTACGCTGTTAATGCGAGACCGAGACTGATTACTAGGTAAACAGACTCGTTAATTTTAACTTTTTCATAAGTACTTAAAAAGCATTCTGTGAAATATGACTCGTTAATATTTTCTACAGTTTTCTTCTCTTCGTTCGCACCCCTATTCTTCTTCAGCAAACTGATGTTGCTGGCCCCTGTGCGAGTGGTTCGAGACCACCTGACTGGGGAGAAGTACTTCGTCTTTAACAATTGCCAATTCCGGATTAATTCCTTCTTAGCCTTACTCATGGCCCTTCTCGAGCTCTTCTCTTTGCGTTGGCGGTTTCAAGAGATCAAAAATATGGAGCTGCGCCACAACATCAACGAATTGAATGAAAACTCCTCTCACTTCATCCCTGACAGCATGTCCATCTTCGCCGTTGTCATCTTATCGCAGGTCAGTCAAAACGCCTGACGAAGGATTTTACTCGCGTTCAATGATCAAAGATTTCAAGGCCTCGCAGGGCCGGATTTACCTACTTGCCGCTCATGGGCCGAATGTATTTTGCCGCCCCCTTTTCATTCATTTTGAAACATCAATAAAAACATCTAGTGAACGTGTCGGAGGGGGAGGGATGCATAAGACGCGTTTACTCGGGTTGGACAAATTTTTTTGCGAAAGCCCTGTCAACACTACTAGCAAAAGTTCACGGAACTTTGCGCGAAAGTTAAGTTTCGAAAACCCATCTCTGTATAGACAAGGCCTTCCATTTCCGAGAAATGAACGAAAAAATTATGAGAGAACAAATATAAATATGGTTTAATAATTTTAACTTCTGCTGCCTCGCCGCCGCGCTGACCGCACCGTGTTTTGCGCAATGCGTGAAGTATTCCTACGGTCTTGGAGGCGCTATGCGTTTCATGCCGACCGTTGCTGACCACACTGTGTTTCACGCAATGCGTGAAGTATTCATGCAGTCTTGTAGGCGCTAATAGGTGTTTCATGCCGACCGCCGCGCCGAGGGTTTCTCCTTTTCATCTCTAGTCCTCGTCATCATTCCTCTCTATACGCCGCGCCGTTCCAGGCTAAATTGCGTGTTTGGTTTCTCTCTTAACTCGACTAACTAAACTCGACTCTCTTAACTAATTAAAGGTGCTGTCTCTTTTGTATCACCGAAAGACGACAAAATTAGAAATTACTATACTCTCCGGAAATGAGAGATTTTGTCGCCTTTTCTCGTTAGTAATTTATTTTTTAAATCCAATTTTTTTTTTATAAATTTACAATTAAAAAATTGCAAAATTTGCCGCCCCCTGGATTTTCCGCCATGGGCCGCGGCCCATGTGGCCACTCCCTAAATCCGGTCCTGAGGGCTTGTATAAATTCAGTTAATTTACGAATCTCTGCTTGTGGATCTTTTTACACTGCAAATCTCTATTAATCACGAATTTCAGCACTAATGACGTCAATGCTAATGATAAGATTATTATATTAGTAGTTATTATGTACCAGTAGCGCAGTAAAATTTATTTGGTGGGGGGAATTTTTATACGGTAAAACTTTTCATCAGTCAAAAGGTTACTAGTCTAAGATCACTCCGGAAATTGATAGTCCAAAATCCCGCGTGTAATTACATAAAATTTCAAAAAATTATACGTTTTGCGGGTAATTTCTGAGTTTAAGTCACGGAATGCTCACACTCTTGGATCCTACCCTTTGTTCCGGAGCAAACTATTCATAATACAATATGCATCAGCCACTCTGCTTTAAAAGCCGTTTTTAACCATAGGCGCCAATTGGAACGCGTTTAACAGAAAGGAACCAAGCCACATCAGCTATTGCCAAGTTTAACTGCGGGCAATTAAATTATTTACAAGAGAACGTCCGTTCAGATTTCTTTGACAATTTTAAGAAATTTGCTTCGTACTATGGAGAAAATTCACTGAAATTTGCACGAAAATCCGCACAACCGTTTTCATGTAAAAAATTAAATTGCCCAATTAAATTTGGCAATGGCTGATGTGGCTTGGTTCCTTTCTGTTTAACGTGGTCCAATTAATAATGGAGCAGGGACTTCCAAAAAAGTTGCCTCCGTCCTATTTTATGTTGACGTACTTACATACAAGTTAAACATTCGTCCAAAATTGTAACACTTCTCACGGTCTTCCCTCAGATAACTCTGGCCATATCAGGAGTGATCAAATCAAAAACCAGTTTCAAGCTCCTTGTCAGCTTCCACGACACCCTGTGTCGAATCGACAACCAATTGGAGCGGCCGGCGAAGGGTGGGAAATTCAAATACGTGGCCTGCGTTCACCTCAGCCTGCTCGTGGGGCTACTGCTGATGGATTATTCGGTGTGGAAGTTCACGCTTTCCGAGGACGGGGTGTTCTTTTCGCACGCTCTAAGCCGGACCATGTGCGCCACCATCTTGGTCCAGTACGAGGACGCTGTTTCTAGTCTCCGGGCTCGTTTCCGGTGCATCAACTTCGAGCTACAACGTGAACTGGCTGACTACTTCCGGGAGGACTGTCTCGAGTTAGCAACCAAGCGCAAAATCAAGGTCATGCCAGGTTAGCTTTTCCGACGTGATAGCGAAGAGAGTCGTAAGTGCCAAACAGAAGTTGTGAGGAAATGGGCTCAAGAGCGTCTTAGTGGATAATTTTACTGAAGGAAGTCTTTATTCTTTGCCTAGGTGCACCTAGGCCATTTTTCTGGGGAAGTAGGGGTTCCGGGGGCCTCCCTTGATATTTTTTTGAGATTTTAAATCAATTTGAACGCATTTTACGGCTTCCGTGACGAAAAGTTTAGAAAATACTACCTGAATGGACACAGTGTTTTCATATAAGACTCTACATTAGAAGAGATAAATATTTTCGACAAAGATTTCTTCCCACCATCCAGAATTTCCAGGGGGTGCCGGATGATACTGTTTTCAATTCTAGGGGGGCTAGCCACCCCTATGCCCCTCTTCTTTGCACACCCATGGGTCTTTGTCAAATTGCCACCAAACATGCACTTAGAAATTTTTTGGATGATTAAAACTCGACCGATATTATTTCAAGTACCTAAAAGGGTATTATTCATTTTCATGTTAGGCTCGTGTTAGGCAAGACAGCTGTAAGTGATATCTTCTGCATGCTCTCGTGGATGCTCTTTGGACACACAACAAACACATTCCAGGATAGAAATCGGCAGAGTGGGGCTGAGGCGGCATGTTACTTGAAAGCACTGTTTTCGTTGGCTCCCTGGAGGAATAATGTCGCTTACTGCTGTTTTGCCCGAAACTACGTCATTTTTTGTGCACTTACGGTTTTCTCATACGTCTCGTTTTTATAAAAATAAGATGTAGTTTGCTGTTTTAGCCATTTCAGTGATTTCATATGAAAGAGATTAGACGAATTTTAAAGGAAACTCGATTCCGTAAATTTGATAGTTACTGCTCTCTCTGGGTGGTTTCAGCTCCCTTCTCGACCAGAAAACAAAATTGAAATTATAAAAATATAAACATCAAAAGCCTTTCTTTCTTGTCATTACAAATAGGGGCCTGAGGGTTTTTTTCATTTTTATTTCCTGGTCGAGGAGAGATTGAAGCCATTCCGAAACTTACTAGGCATTCTATCCGTTTTTAGTCTTGGTTTCCCATTTTCTGGTCTTCTGTTTCGTTAAAATATTTGGGAAATTTTTGTGCATCATTCTCAACCGTGATTTTAATTTTGACGATGGTGTGGTGTGTTCGAATACAGCGCGTACCCTTTCGCGGCGACGAGTGGGCGACCTGTTCCAGCTGTTCTGGCTCACATGTCGCGGGGTGCAGCAAGTGAACGAGGTCTACGGGAACCTCATCTTCGCCCTCTTGGTGATGACGTCCCTCCAACTGATCATCATCCCGCACTATTTCCTCATCACCATGTTCAACACCACCGAACCCGTGACGGAGGAGGACAAGATTTGCGCCGTCGCCGACTCTCTTTGGCTTGGCTTCTTCTGCGTCCAGCTTTTTGTTCTCGTCATCCCACCTGCCCTCGCGTCTGCTGAGGTTAGTGCGTATTGTTGGCCAATCATAGGGATACCTATTATGTCGAACAATTTTTTTCCAGCATTTTTGCCTTCATATTTTTGAGGAAGAAAGTTTCTTCAAACAGCCTGACCAAACAGCTTGTCTGATGTCCCTCACCAATAAACAGTTAGATAAAGACATAGTCAGATAATATCAACAAAATGTCAGTATCAAATAGAATACTCAAATCCGTGTAGACTCATTAGCCTAAATTTTTTTCCGACTAACTGAGTTATTATGACAACTTGGGTGTCAGCTTGTCATTTTAACAAGATGACGACGGAAGAACCATTCATAGTGAAATCATTATCGTTAAGTTTTCAATCTTCTTTGGTTGTTTGCAGGCTAATAGAACTGTGGTGATTGTTTGCAACTATTTGAACACGAATACAGAGGAATACTTTCTGGAAGAGGTATGGTATTCACTTTGGAGGAACTCATGATCAATATTTATATTTTAAACGATACATCCTGCAATTTCACTTTGAACTTGCACTTGATGAAGTACTTACTAAAAATAAAGGAAACTTGTCGGATAAACCCTGGGAAATCTAGGCCGAGGATATTTGGACATATTTATGCTAATTGTCTCAACGGTCCATACTATAAACTTTGACTCACGTATGGTTTTGTTTTTCTTGCGATCGGGCAATTTAAAGTTCTCAAAACCATGGACAATAAAAACGTTAATATCTTAGCTAGAAGTTGATTTCAGTAATTTTTGTTACGCGAATCGTGTTCTACGTAAAACTCTGGTGAAGAAATATGAAACAGAGTGCTTAAATTCGTACCTTGTTTAATGGCCCATTCAATCTTAAAAAGCGAACATACAGATCTTTCCTATATTTTCTCAGAGAAAATATTTTATCGGGAGAAACGAGGCTCCGTCGGAGTGCTCATACGGCGTCGATACACAACATGGGCCTACTAAGCGCAATTGTTCGATGCCTCGATTATCTTAACGCAGTTCGAATAATCGCGCCATACGCGGTGCGGTCGGCGTCAAACTCATGTCAGCGCCTGCAGGACTGCATGAATACTTCTCGCATTACACCAAACGCAACGCGAGAGTTATTTGCAGGAATGAAGTATTCATGTATTGCGCCAAACAGTGCGGTTGGCGTCAAGCGCATATTAGCGCCTACAAGACTGCATGGATACTTCTCACATTACACCAAACACTCTGCGAGAGTTATTTGCGATAACTCTTCGACTGCGGGTATAGGCGCATTGCCGCTAGCTGGATTGAGGGTGCATCACACTGTGAAGATGACTCGATACTCGACCGCACTCCCTTGCCTGGCTTGCGCGACGCTAAAATCGCCGCAAAATTAGATCCACGCGTCATTACTTTTGACGGTCCCTGCCCGGTTTTACCCCCAATTAAAGGGTTAATGTGTATCTTGAGTGTAACGATTCAGAAACTCGGATGATTTCTAAACGATGCAGCGATTCTGAAACTTGGATCGCATAAAATTAATTTTGGTTTAATTAAAGAGAACAGAACGAACGAAAATATCGCGTTGACATTTTTTTTCTTTATTTTGAACCGTTCTGGAAATTTCGAAACTTCTAAAATATGTTCTCATGTACAGGCTCCAAGTAAATTTGGGCATAATGCTACGCCCTTCAAAACTTTGGCTAACGAGGAATTTAATTTTTTTTTTATTCTTATATTCTTTCTGTTTTATTTTAGTTGAAGGCGTTTGTCTTCCGTCAGAGTGGCGCATCCTTTGAATTCGTCGCAACGAACATTGTGAAACTCAAGTTACCTTTGCTGACATCAGTAAGTATGATCCTCAAAGAGCCGATTAAAATGCCAATTTCTCACTGCGGTAAACATTTTTTTTTTTTTTTATCAAAAGTTATTATATTATCCATAATTATAATAACAATATAATAACGAACAATTCGAGAGAGACTGTGCCTCCAAAATTTGATCTAAGTTGTGAATCATGAAACACTAAAAATAAAACTATGAACTTACGACAAAAAGGGTGGGCCATTCAAGTCTTGTTTGGACGCATTCTCTTGCAGTTAATTTCAAGAAGCGTGACGCGTTGGTGCAATAATACGAGGGCAAATTGTAACCAGACTGGATAGTGCCTTCTATTGGACCTGAATACAAATTGAGATCCTTTGAGCACAAATAAATGCATCAAGGCGCAATACGATAAATTTCCCGAAAATGGTACCAAAAATTACACTGAGCAACTGGTCAAACATGTGACCATTAAACGGCCATAAAATTCAGACTCATTACGCTCACGTCATATCAATATCTCATAAAACTATCTTTTGTTCTTAGGTAATTGGTGTGACGGCAACGTATTTGTTGGTCTCCATCCAAATTCGGAAGGCTGTTGTTGACATGTAATAGCTGATCTCTACTCGGAATTCTCACAAAATTTATTGAAAGTAAAGCTTTGTGAAGTAAATTTTCAGACAAAACCTCTGGAATAATGTGCGACCGCATTAATATACTGAGATGAGTGTAAAGTTGAAAGATCCTTTCCCAACTTTTACTGTGAAAAATTTACATTTGATTTTACATAACTGGCACACATTTTTGAAACTTTCCTTTTTTGATTTGACAAGAAAAAAAGCATAGAAAGGTGGACTTGAAAGCGATTTAATAAATGATACCTATCTTAAATGGGTGTTTGCTTCATCTCCTTTCCCCTTGACACTCACCTCAAAAAATTCAGCTGGCATTATGTCTAACTTTTCGGAACCTTTTGTAGAAATTATTTACAAGTTAGCTAGGCTCACCCGTGAAGGAAACTCGAGGCTTTCCAGTTTGGTGAGTTTGTTTTTCTTTCACCGGCCGACGGCTGAAAGTGACAAGCGTGATATTCCCCCGAAAGTGAAAGTCACCATGTTTACCTAGCCCTAGGGGTGGACGTTTCATTCTCATGAGAAACGGCTGACTTTGTTTAAGTTTGATATAAATAGACTACTTGGAGACATCACGCATTGGTTCTTGTTAGTCACGACACGATGAGTGAAAATTTTTGTTTGTGTGAGCACAGCGCCTAATTTTCGATAAATCACTAAAACATACTCAAGATTTCACATTATTTTTGCTGTTGTAAAATTAAGGAAAAAAAGCAAGTATTATTTCTGCGCAAGTACAACACGGTGACTGGTTTATGATTGCTACTTAGGCGTATTTTTGTGAGAACGCTGTGAAACCCTAATATTAAAATTATTGTCGATCTATTTTAATAAATTAGCACATAAATAATTTAACAGTTGTGTGTGGAAGGATTTCAATAATGATTTGTGTTTGATTATAATGTTACCGATTGATCGTTTCATAATGAGAAAATTGTTCTTTTCGCGAATTCGTTTTGTCTCTACCCGTTCTTCTGACATACGGAATGCTCTAGGCTGTAACTGGCACCATAACGGAAAAATTATGAGCTTCAGATCTATTTCAGACTCCTGATAGTTTTAGAGTTAAGCATTGAATTGCTTTAATCATGTCCATCGGACAATATCAAGTTTCGTCATTTGGTTCAATAAGAAAGAATGGCACGTAAGTACAAATTAGAATAATATCACTACAGGTTTAAAAATTGTAATGCATATAGGACTTGTATGTAAAGAATTTATATTTACTCCACGAGTAGTTGAGATGGTTTTGCAGGTTTTAGTTCATAAATCTTTCACCTTTTACAATTTACGTATCGGTATCCCAGAACCAAAAGGTACCTAACTCACATTTTTTTCCACATCGAACATTTTCTGATATCAGAATTGCTCCCCCCCCCCCCCCNTTCATTAAAACTTAGGTATCGAAAAAAAAACTCAATTACCAGTACATATTCTGTATATAATTTTTAAAATTTGAATAAATAAAAATACATCGATCTTAGCAAAGTTTTTTTGTATGTTACGGCGCAAACAGAAAATGGTGAATGCCAAACCGATGGTTGGCCGATGATTCATTAGATGCAAACTTTTTTACTGTCCCTTAACAGCAGTATTTTGTTGCAGTATACTTCTCATCCTGCAAACCATTATACATATTCAGCAAGCTCTTGCTGTTAGCTCCGGTAAGTGTGAGCCACAATCCAGAAACAATGGAAAAGACCTATGTTTTCCGCGAGTGGCAATATCGTATCAATATTACGATTGTTATATTCATGGGCGTCACTGAGGCACTGTCAATGTATTGGCGCTTCCAGGTAAAACGTCTGTTTAAAATTAAATTGATATTAAAATCTAGTTTAACTTGGCGGTCCGTACATAGAGATTATGAATGGGATTACATTTTGCAAAAAAGACCCAAGAGTCTTCCATTGTTGCTGGGATTGTGCAATTTAACTCTTTGCAATAAAATTACTAAAATATTGCAAGAAATTAAAATTACAAAGGTAAATTTCGTTTTGAACTTATAGTTTATTAGGAGTAAAGATAAAACTCGTTTAGATGATCAGTTTATATTTGCAGGGTGAAAAAGTTGCACAATCTTAGCGACTTTGGAATGCTCCTGGTTCCTTTTTGCACAATGCAATCCAATGAAAGGCTGAGAAGGGTCATAATTTTGAAACTTGAAAGTCGAAGCATCGTTAAGACCCTCCGTTCGAGGTGACCTTTGAGCTATATCGTAACTTTAAGCCTCAAATTGTCCGTCCTCTGACATAAGGAATAATCAAGTCAGCTTTGGAGCGAATGCAGACTGCAGAGTTATACGATGCTCATCTCAACATGAAGGCATGTCCTTGCGCCTGAGGGAGGGGAGAGAAAATGTCTACAATAGAGGGTTCGGTGCGGACTTATAAAGACCAAACGAAAAATTTTAAAATAAATTAAAGAAGAAAATAGGTATTTACGAAATGTCTTTTTAGAATGGTAGCCATCTTGTTGTCTATTCCTATTCCTATTTCCTGTTTATTTCCCATTTTTAGAGGTCTTTGTTCAACCAAGTGCGGTCCAACTAACTCGAGATTTTTTGTGCTATTTACTCTAGCCAACCTAACCAAACCAAACCTAACCTAACCTAACCCAACCCAACTTTACCTAACCTAGTCTAACCCAACTTTCTCTGACCCAAACCTAACCCAACTTCACCCTGCTAGACGTAACCCAACATTGTCTGAACCAAACTTTCCCCGACCTAATCTACCCGTACCTGCCCTAACCTAACCTAACCTAACCTAACCTAACCTAATCTAAATATACGTGACCCAAACCTCTCCTGTAGAGTTAATTTTATATTTTACTTGGGAGGAAGATATTTTTCTGTTTGTTGACACCGTGACCGTTGACACCATGCTCAGGGCCCATTTTTACGTTTTACTCCCTGAGCACGACGTCAACAATCGTCGACTCCACGATCAGATTTTAGGTTCGTTGACACCATAATCGTTGACATCATGCAACGTTACCAAAAATATTTTCAGGAGTTACAGGAGCAGTTTCCTGACTCGAACTC